GAGAGCAATGTGATTATTGTGTTATTTCGTCCGGAAATCGTTCTTTTTTTAACTATTTGTTCGGTTTGTAGAAGTTCGTACATTGTACACAAAAAAGAATAATGACCAATGATATCGATATAAAGATGTTTTTCAGCCTAGGCCTAGCATCTCTTACGTCGGTAAATAATTGACGTGGTCAGCAAAAACTGCATCGGCATTTTGAGGGATTTGGAGGTGAGTTATTTTGAAATGTAAGGCGAGCTATTTTTCACACCCTTCGATAGCAGTTTAGGTGCACGAGGCGTGATCGTGCGCCTTAAATGACAAGGTCTGGGTTATAACCTTGAAAATGTCTTCAGTATTAACAAGGTTCCAGTTTACCAACTTACATCCTGGAATATGTGGTGGTACGTTAACCTCAGGAATTGATGTGGACTGGATCATCAACTGAAGATCAGATATTTTCTTCTCAAAGAAGTTGACAAAATCCTCAGCTAGTTCAAACTCGTCTTCATGGACTGGTAGGTGTTGGCCGTGTTTGGGGTTGGTAAGATTATCAATCAAATTGAAAAGCTGTTTCTGGTTACATCTTCCAATTTTACTGATAATGTCAACACTTTTCGCTTTTCCAAGTTTCGTGTGGTATTCAAATGTCATTCTAGCATACTCATCTTGAACTATAAGGCCAGTTTCCTCCACTTTCTTTCACATTTACGCATTTCTTGATTGGGGGCTTTGCATGTTGCATTATACCAAAGTGCATGTGGTCTGAGTGTAATTTTCCGTCTGGCGACAAGTGCATGAGTATCAAGTAATTCCCGGAGGCATGTGTTGTATTGTGAGAGTATTTGTAAGTATTCCTACATTTTCTATGACATTCAAGCAATGGTTTTGGTTGTTTAAATAATTATTTTCCTACTACGTTCATTCATAAACAATGTTTGAAATGTTCCTGTTTGAACCCACTTTGCTCAAAACAATATTAACAATTATTCTTTCGGTGCTCGGGGTCACATTAGTAGCTTCACCAACATCGACAAAATGTACGTAGTTGGTGAACTGGTATAAACTTGCTATACAACATACGGCTGCCGGGATGATTGGCAAATGAAAAAAAAAATCAGCAGGGCGTTTATTAGAGTGGGAGCGTTTATTTGAGACAAAAACGGTAATAAAAAAATTTAGGGAGCCTAAGCCGGCTGAGCCCCCTTGAATCCGCCTATGTGACATGCGTGTAGCAAAAGCAAATTATAAAACAGACAATAAAAACCCATTGTCTCCTCCTTGTCATGTGCAATGATACATGGAAGTGATGTTGCGATTGATTTCTCTATAAATCTACTGCTATTTCTCAAGGATGGCCTGGATGTATTATTCAGGCTTTCTTCAGTCAATAACTTCACAATTTGAATGCAATCATTTCCAAAGAAAATCAATTGCATTTTTGGAAGCAAATAAAGGTACTTTCTATTCTGCAATATCAACCCTGGAGTACAGGTAGTGTCGGTAGACACAAGCACGTAATATACTATACTTTTGGTGGCCAGGTTATATAAATGCTCCGGAACTTGATGAATTCATTAAGTTTATAAATTAATTAATTTAGTTATCCTTGGCTTGCCATTACTGTAATTACTTAGGGGATTGTTATTTTCATAAACCATGAATTAATTTAAAGAATTTTATGCAAAGCTATAGATAAATAGTGAGCAGAGATAAATTAAATCAAAGACTTTCATTTTGTGATAAAAGACTTGAAAGCAAACCCATAACCAATGCAGCTCAGGTCTTCACCACTGTTTACTCGGTATGATTTATTTTTTTGGAATTTGAAATAACCAATCCACTGGGATGGTAATTTTCACCTACATGCAAAAGATGGGCTATCCAGATTTAGATCAGTACTGCCCACAAAGCATATCAGTGAAAATTGCCATCCTTACAGATCTGTCGACGTTGACCTACAGTATACACTTAAATTGAACAATACTAATTATTTGGCGAATCAAGTGGCCGAGCGGTAAGGCAGGGGCACCGCTATCTGCAGCCTTAACATCGGCGCTGGTTCCAGCCACTCCTCGCCCAGGTTTCGGTTGGTAGAACCAAGTCTTCTCGGATAAGGGCTGAAAATAGAGGTCCAGTATACGTATCTGGCTCGTTGACACATTAAAGAACCCACTGCATCTTTCAGAAGAGTAGGGGTTACCCCGATTCTATGGTTATTTTCAACCAGTTGTTGTGGAATGATATGAACATGTAGCTACTATATAAGTGCCTCTTTAAGGTCGTTAGGTAGTCACGGACAATGCCCATATGCAATTCAGCACAATGAAGTTGTTAGTTATGGATTATTCCCCTACCTTTACCTCATTTACCTTTTAATATCTGAATTGTATTATCAACTTTAAATCAAAACCAAGGAAGAAAATGTATTCCGTGTCAATTCCTAAAATATTTTGATACTATAGTAAGCAAAATTGTTTGGTAATCAATTTGAGTACTTGTTTAAACTTAAATAATCCTGATAAATCAGCAAAAATTGCATTTTTTCTTTTCTGACTTAACAAAAGATTGATAAAATTTTTAGTCGACAAGTGGTAAAAAAAATTATGATACTAACTTAGATAACGTTCAACAAATCCTGAAATTGGTTGAATCAGAGGAAAATGATTGTGGCACATAGTTGCCATGGTTACTTGACGTAAGTTCATTACTAATAGCAGCATTTCAAAGAGCATTATATCAAAGAGAGATCCAATCATATTAGATGAAGAAATTGAATGTGGATCAAATTGATTCTCAGAGAAATTAGTAGAATTTTAACTTCGCAATGTTGACGAATTAAGACTCTGAAGGGGTTACCCATTTTTTTTTCATCATTTTCAAGTGAGTACAAAACATATGCTAGTGGGAAGGGGTTAAAAGTTTTTATGAAAATGGACAAAATTATGATCTCAAAATGACGTCATTTTATTAAGTACTCTAATGAGAGAGAGGCAGGGAGATGTCAAAGAAAAGAGTATGTTTTTACTTTCTTGAAAATAATGTGAAAATATAAGTATAGCGCTGTTTGCCAATACACCATGTTATATTATTGTTAGTCATCATGCTTTTTGTTATATAATATGATGTAAAGAGGCACTGCAATATGCACTATATATTATAAATGTAAATTATTATTTATTATTTTATAAATGACCCCTGTATCAATTACCAATGGCAGGCCTCGAATTTAACCGCGGCCACCGCGGCCATTGCCGACGGTGCCCTCCCAGTTGGCCTTGGTGCCCCTGAAAAATGAAGCACGACGACAGCCACTACTTGCCTGCCCTTTCAAAGCCTTGGCCTCGGTGCCCTCATGATGATTAATATAGATCGTTTGACACGTAAAAAAAAAATCTAAGTAAGAGCGTTAAATCTTGAAAGAAAACACGAAAGCCAAAAACGTAGGTCGCCTAAGCTAGCTTAAGCCAGGTTGCAGTGACAGAACAGAACATGAGAGCATTTCCATGTGTGTTGTTGATACGAACTGTTTTTGCGGTTACCGTTGTGTGCGCATGCGTCTTACTGTTATTGCAATATAAACATGGGCTCATTCGACTGGTTCATTTCGTTGGAACGAATTTTCGTTGAGTATTATTTTCATTCGACTGGTTCGCGTTAAATAGACTTCGTTGACAACGAAAATTGATGTAAACCAGAGTGCGTTAATCAGCGTTAAGTTACCCACGTGACCAAAGAGAGACATGGCCGATTGGTGATTTTTTATTAACAACATTTGCATTAATATTAAATTTAGATTAAATTTCATGAAATAAACATTATAATATTTACCCACATGGAGTCAAAAAATTATTGTAGGCAAACAGAATAAAAAAAAACTGGATGAAAATATTTTTTTTAACGAAAAACCCATACTACCACAAGTTGAAGCAATCTTGATTACGCAACATGTATCACGGTAACTATACAACCATTTTGTTTTGTTGAGTACAGTATTACAAGTTTTCTATTTGACTGGTCGTCTTCGTTGAGTAGAATGTTACCGCTGCGCGCAGATGGGCGTGGTTTAACAAAGAACGACCAGTCGAATACGGTCTTTGTATAGTTGTAAACATGTGCTTGCTGCACAGCTAACTTTGGGCGATCTTACGTCATCGCAGCTTTCACGGCCGCGGCCAGTTTAGAGTTGTGGCTTCCTCTCCGATGACGACGGACTGAGCAACAGCACAAAGATATCGAACTTCTTGAAATTTGATTGTTTTGTACGATCGCCAAATTTTGCCTTGGGTGCCCTTTTATACTTGAAAGTTTGGCCTTGGTGCCTTTCAAAATCATGTCATACCAGAGGCCAATTGGCCTTGCCCATAAAATCCCCAAATTCGAGGCCTAAAATGGTTGTATCACTTGCTTATAATAAAATAATTTTTCATTGCATTATGTAAAAAGAGCAGTTATGGATCTGATTGGACTGATTTGGTCTGGACACCAAAGAAAGCCCACAAAAGTCCAAAGAAAACTTAATTCCAGAGGGATCCTTCTGGTAGTGATTTGCATGTTTACATGCTGTAGCCTTTTAGAAAATAGCGCTCAGTAAATCACATCTGATAATGTTGCTATAGTGGATTGAAATAGAAGGTAATAGGACTTGATAGTGCATTATACCCAAGACTCAATGTTCTTCAAAATAAAATAAGAAAATATTTTTAAAAACCCTAAATTTTCCTATAAAATTCTTTCTATTTAATCCTGCGTATTTCCTTTGTCCATATGATAATGTGCACAAGCAGCCTATAACATCACTTGCGTACTTCAGTCTGTAAAATGAAGACGTGTGCCTTGATCCCGGATTTTTCGCATTCTACATTTTGTTAAACTATAAGGAAGTATTTATTTTGCGATTAGTATGTGTGTTAATATTATAACCAAGGTAACTAAAACAATTCCAAGAGCAGAAAAACCAAACAGCACTCTATCAACCATCTATTATATTTGATCAAATAAATTAATGCACTCACCGAGTAAACACAGCCTTCTAGAATATGCACACGTGAAGAGAAACTCTCGTTACGGGCCTCTATTTTTAGGGTCCTTTCACGCCAATTAACGCAGTTTGTTTGAATAAAGTACACATGGTCAACACCTACAATCTGTCAAAGAAACAAATAATCTTTATTACTTTAAGAAATTCAAAATACAAACAACATTAACAACAACAATATAAAACAACACCTGAATTTCAATGTACAGTGTTAAAATCAATCTATCTATTAAAGATAAAAAATAACAGAATGGATACCCAGAGAAAGCAAAAGAAAAAGAGGAAGACAGAAACAGAGGTGGAGAGACAACTTGAAAACATATGTCAGTAAGTGTTGGTTGAAAGAAACATCAGACAGAAAGAGGTGGAAGAGGAGGGGTACTGTATGTTAAACAGTGCACTGAGGAACCCTGAAGTAAGATTGTAAAGAGTACATATATTCAAGTACTGTACAGTAGACATATAAACTGTGTTTTTTAAATGTTTATCATGTACAGCAATATGGTTTTATTAACAAAAGATTTACAGGCCAAGGACTTTTTTAAAAATATGTCAAAAAATGTAGTATTAAAGTGTGCACTTTTAGAATACAGTATGTGTGTCTATAAACAATGCATCATCTAATACACAAATGTACTTCATGAAAAACAAAAGAAAGGTCAAAAGGCCACTGCTGACAACCATATAGATTTACTATTGCTATTGCATCATCATGGAAATCAACAACAATAAATAGTTTTAGTATCAATCAACTCTGACATTCAGGAGGTAAATTATATTATGACAGATAGTACAGTAACTTTCATTCTATAGATACCAGTAGATACAGCAGTTTATGTGTCATTTAGGGCCTACTGTACTACTAGAATTATTGCTATTCTCCCCATTACTAGATTCCAATATTAATAAATCACTTTCAATATTAATAATAACCAAATATTTATAATGTGGCAAGTCCAATAAGGATGTTATTGTTAAAGCTCTTGTTATTGGTGCCATGAAATTTGATGGCAGGTTAACATTTGTGTGCAAATAACATCTGCCCCAATTTTTGCATTGAATTGATATTATAATTATTTTATAGTCTTATTTCAAAATTGGTAATAATACCATCTGTGGTATAACAGCACCTAAAAATCATTCAATTAAAATACTGAATTGCTTACCGTACTGTATATTCTCATGTATAAAATGAAGCTTTAAATAGCAAAGTACAATAGAATAAGAGGGGGTCGTCTTATACGCGCAACACATACACACCTTTTATTTAAATCATTTGACTTTACTGTATGTGCTGATCATCAATAACACGCAAATTTACTAGCAAAGTGAAGATACTGAATGCAATTTCAAATGCAGGGAAAAAAGATTTTGATGAATATTTAAAATGATATTACAGTACTTGGAAGATTAACCCTACATTTGCCTCCACATTTAGCTAGCTATATGAAGCATCAAGATCTTATAAAAACTAGAAAGATTTAAGAATTCCAAAGGTGAAACAAGAGGGTCATCTTACAGTACACCACTGATATATAAATACCGTCCAAAAATCTTCTCAAAAGCATGAGTCGTCTTATACGCGGATCACTTTATGCATGAAAATATACAGTATATAAAATGATCAAGTTAATACCTTTTTTATAACTTATATTTAAAATACTTTGAATTGCTTATATTAAAGGATCAAATAAATGTTGTCTTGCAACTCTATAAGCAAGTCAATTAGTGAACTGCTTAATATAAAAATAGATCAAATAAGTTACAAACACTCAATGAGATAACAAATCAAAATAGTAGTTTTCATTTCTACATCAACACTACTTCACCATGTTTATTATGTTATTTTGTAATCTGAGAATAAACATGATGAAGTAAGCCAAGTTCATTTTTGTAGTTGATTTATTAAGCTCTACCTGGTACCTTAATACTTGTGTGTGTGTGTATATATGTGTGTGTATGTATATATATATATCATATATATATATATATCATATAAAAATCTTGAAAATGATGAAAAAATATAAACAATCCCTGTTACAATTACCAATGGTTGTTAATGTATCACTTGCTTAAAAATAAAATAATTTTTCATTGCATTCCGTAAAATGAGGGGTTATGGATCTGATTGCATTGGAAGAACTAGTATGCAAAGTTTTCCAATGATTATACTAACTCACTCAAAGGAAATCATCTACATCGGTCAAAATATTAAAATAAAACAATTAAAGGAATATGCAGGAAAGCAAATAAAATTGAATTAGATATTAGATTGTTTTCCCAGTGCACTAACCAAATTACCACAAGAGTTAGGCCTGCACTGCGGCAACAGTGGCCCAGCCAAGATTTTCTTACTCGGATTTGCAGTACTTTATATGCTTTAAAATAACTTACTTTCTTTAATAAATAAGGTGCATCTAAATTCAATTTGCATCTTCGTTCCACAACATGAACAGCTCCGTCGGGACTCTTTTTGTCGGACACTATTTCGCTGCCTAGAAAAATTGGAATCATCTTGCAGGTTGGGAACCGCTTTTCATAAGCCTACAAACACAAGGGAACAGAAACAGATATTGAAATAAATTTATATCAATATAAATAGCAGATGAAAGAATATAAATATTACTGAATTATGACCTCCTTTTTTTATCATATCAATATTCCTCAGTCTGTGATGACTAAAGAGATTAACAAATGGCACCTTCAGCATGCATGTTTTGACATCTAACTATTTTCTCTATATAAATTTATAAGCTGATCATGTGGAGTTGTTTTAGGTGTGTCATATGATTTGAACCTACAGATTTGCAACACTTGTTTTCACTGAGCTTGGGGAAGTAGTAACAACCTTAACATACAATCATAAATTAATCACACTACAAATCGTTGCTCACATCACAAACTAACACAATCAAACCACAGGATATTCAGTACTTTTATGAGTAGTTTATATATGACAGTACACAAGCTTTCGTCCACACAGTGCACTTCTTCAGGTGAATGTGAAGTTAACATAAACTTGGTGGATAGACCTAAGCAAGTTAATTATTCAAGCATACAATTAAGACAAAAGGACTAAAGCATAAGCAATAAACAGTATTAAAATATAAATGAAAAGACAGGTCAGGAGTGAGAAGTATTATCAAAGTCAGTGAATATAACATATAGTAACTAATATGTAGTAAAAATAACCGTAGTACTAGGTATCCCAATGAGAAATTTCAAATTTATTATTGTGAATTCTCTCTTCATTTAATATGCAGAACTTACTGCACTGATCACTTTCCAGTTTAAATGAATGAAATCCAACATACCTGCATGTAAGTAAAGAATAAAGCCAGTTCTTTCAAGATATCTTATTTTTATTGACATACATTCACAATGAGTATTTTATTCTCAACATCAAAATCATGTCATTTCATCAAATTTCATGAATATTTCCGGACTGTGGTAACGCAAAACGGGTTTCATTGGGATACCTAGTAGTACAGTATCTTAAGTCTGGACATCATATAGTGATATATAGTACTAATATATTATAAAAGCATAGTACAAATATAACGGTATAAATATAGAACCGTAGTTATATAGTGTCTGAACATCATATAGTAAAATCAAGGACTGTAATCAGATGACATATAATAATAAAATAGCATGATAGATATATAAAACTATGAAAACACTAATGGCAGAATATGAGATATAGAAAAAGCATACAGAGTGTGAATATTATGTTTTATAATGTGAGAAAAAACCATAGTCCTAATATTAATTGCCCTGCTCTACACAATTAAGCTTATTTATAAATTTCTGTTCATCAATTTCTCTTTCTAGGCTGTTTTTGAAGTTAGGTTTTTTAATCACTGCAACCTTAAGGTTGAGCATGAAGTGTGAATTAGAGTTGAAATGTTCTGCTACTTGTTTGTGGTTGTGCTTAAGTCGTATGTCCGATTTGTGTCCATTGAGTCGTTGTCTGAGGGATTGTCCTGTTTGTCCTATACTGCTTTAGGACATTTTTGACATGTGATTGCGTAAATGACATTAGTAGATGAGCATGAGTATGTGCCTCTTATGGATATGCTTTTAGCATTAGGTCCTGTTATTTTGTTGTCAGTGTTGATATGGGGGAAAAGTAGCATTTGTTACTATTGCAAGGGAAAAGTTCCGGGTGTATTATTATCAGTAGGGAGTTGGCTGTGAATGAGTTGTCGGAGATTGGGTGGTTGTCTGTATGCAATAGTGGGTTTGTCTGTGAAGACGTCTGCATGGGTCTGTTGAGATTATCGGTTGGAGGTCATTGATGATACGCTTGAGTGGTTTGAGCATGGGATGTATGTGACAACTAGTGGGGTGCGGTTTTTGACAGGTTTAGGTGTGCATTTGAGTAAATCTTTACGGTCTATTTTCTTTGCTCGTTCAACTTGTTCATGTATGGTATTAGGATTGTATTTGAGGTGAGAGAATGTATTGCTAAGTTCAAGTAAGTGTGTGTCTCGGTCAGTTTGGTCAGTTTGTTGTATCGTAGTGACTGACTGTATATGATTGACCTTAGTATATGTGGAAAATGAAAGCTGGATGCATGAGGGTAGCATTGGTTGTCTTTCATTGTATTATAGTTTGTGATGTGAGCGACAATATTCTAGGAATTTTTACTCTGAACTTTCTCTTTAATAATAAAATTTTTTAGGGGAATTTTATTACATTTTCAGAAATCATTAACATATAGTAAGTATGTGGTTTACAGAACATAATGGCAATTTCAGGTTTCAACCAATGATGTTGAACTGCTTGAGGGCAGATGAGTTTATAGATCATAGGTGAAAAGTGGAACACAAGTTCCTGTGGTATATGCAAGCATGGTCTCCGGTGTCATTTAAAGCCTGTGCAAATTTTTGCTAATGGGTACTTATGCAATGCTAATCAAACACTGTCATCTCAAATCAAATATAATAATCAGCCAACAGCTACACTTTTTAAGAACTGTACTTAACTTTCCACCAAGTATTCAAAATACAAATATACCGTATGTCAATTTTAATTGACTAAATTGTTTTTACCAGAATCATAAGATTTTTTTCTATTTCACATTTCATTTTTATCATCAAATATTAGGTTTTATGACAAATACATGGGCCTGCCCATGGGTATGTGCAAGTCCATACATGGGTGAATCACACTCATATTTTTGACACATTAAACTTTACAGACAGAGCTTTTAGGCTAAGTTAGCTAACAGTTAGCAGGATCCGGATCCTGCTAACCATTAGCTGCCGTGCGTCCATACGTGAAAATCCCGATCCGGATACCAAAAATATGACGATCGAATTACTGGCCAATAAGAAACTGGAAATTGTAAACGCGTACGTGTGATTGGTTGATGATAAAAACATGCTCAACTTAGCAGTATCCGGATACTGCTAACGGTTAGCACTAACCAATCGAGCCTTCTCACGCAGGTGCTAACGGTTAGTGCTAACAGTTAGCTCCCGATCCGGATACTAGGGCTCTCGTGAGAACCAGGCTTTTGTATTTCAGCAAACTAAAACTTTTACATATTTTAAAATTGTTTTATAATTCACCAAATGACATGCATTAAAAAACCTCATCCTCAATCTAAATTTTGTTAAATCGACTGTACATCCGGTTAATGATGTAAACGCGCTTATCATTATTAAATAAATAATATCGGTCGTAGTATATATTACAAGGCTTCTGGACATGTCAAATGTTTAAACCATCATTGGAACAATGCTATTAAAACACATAATCAATGCCTTATATTTTTAATTATTCTATTCTATTCTATTTCTTTTTAAATATAAAAATCATAAACTTAATTATGTGAATATTGCCAAGGCTTCTAGCCTTGTCACATGATACACTATCATTAGATTTGCAACAATGGTATAAAACCCATAACCAGATCATGTACTGTAGTAGGCCTACTGTTCGCTATCATTATTTCTTCTCTATAGTGTTCTTTATAAAAAAAACACTAAGAACTAACTGTAGATCATATTAATATTCTTTTTTAAAATTCCAAACATTAACAATGATTAATATTTTACCTTCATTCCAAATAAATTTGTTAAAAGAAGAATTAGATCATATTTAACTTGATGAAAATGTTCAGTACTGTAGCTACGACATTTTTTTACTTTATTCAAAATTCATTATTGTAATACATAATTTCAAGGACAATATTACTATACAAATCAAAAACGAAACTGGATTGTTGAACTATTTCTATTGTGGCCCTAAATACTGATTCCTTTTACTAACAAATTTCTTTAAATATAATGATACAGTGTCTGATAAAATATGACCTTACGAAGTCCAAAGCATGTATTGTGTACAGTATCAACTGTCTGACAGATATGACATGCTACAGTATTGTTAAGTCACAAGCTGTAAACATGATAAGAGTTCTACCAAGTAATTATCAGCTACTGTCACCAGTGTACAGTAGTCCTGTAATTAATACAGGAGTTCCCATTCAGTAGTACAGTACAGATGCAAATTATCGCTTCGTATCTGCGCGTAACCTCTCGTAATCTGCTCGTAGGTACGTTTTGAATGTAGCTGCGAACCACTATGAAGGTCATTGTTATTTTAATTAGCTTTGCAATGATCGTAGGCTGGATCGTCGGGCTAAAGCAATGCGTAAACAATATTGAAATATTGAAATAAAAACAATATTTTATCAATAATTAGTTGTGAATTTGAATATCAGTATGTAGGCTGGGCTTTCCAGCTTGATTGGGTGACTTCAAAAGACATCCACCACTGCTATAACAGGTCAGCATGGCTTGATTTCAGGGCTGTAGCTGAAACTAAAAACTGCCGACGTTATAACCGGCGTGAATTTTATAGCGCCGGTGATTTTCACTTTTTTTTTTGCTGACATACTTTTTTACTAATTTTGAGGGCTGTAAATGTGAGGATGAATCCACACAAAACAGGATTGGTATTAGGGGCATTTTATAGACAGTACACTATAAACTTTTCTCAACCCTGTTTTGGGATCAAAATATGTATTGTAATGACTTTCTACACAGTACTAAAGATTAAATGCAAAAGGTTTTCTTTGCACTGTAGTGAATGAGCATACTTAAGTGACACTAGTTCTGCAACATGTAAGTCAACATTATTACTCCATGTCAGCTTTTTTATAACTGAACTGAATAAAATTTTTATATGCCCGATAATAAGCCAAAGATTTAGGACTATGCTGAAACTCTCATAACCAAAATATTTTCACAACCCTAGGATAGCAATCTAGCAGATCAGAAAATTACTGTACTAAAGCAAAGTTGGTACAGTATACTACAAAGTATTGACATTCGTGCGACATAATCCTAAATGAGATTTTTGAATTATAGATATCTTTTATACTGCGAGACATTATTAAACCACTAACTGTAAGTTTCAAGTTATGATTATGGTGGAACTATTCTAGGAAAAAGAATCTCACAACATCAAAAAAAAAATTCTGTGCACCTGTAGGGTTGCAACATAGCAGGAAGGGAAATGCTATACTGTAC